GATACCAGTGTAAGGATTTATTTATTTATTGTTTGTTTGTTTGTTTAGCATATGGCATATCATATATGGACTAACAATATAAATTAATATTTCAACTAGATTAGTACAATCCAATAAAATATGAACGTCAACATGTTCTATGTTCAAATATCAATATCTAGGCCAGAGGTAAGCATGGCTGGGTGCCCCCTTGGGGAAGTGGGGCTAGGCTGGGCTGTGGGGTCCTATTGGCCCGGGAGCTCGAGGGCCAGGCTGGGTGCTTGCCTTTCACTGCCCAGGGCTCCGGGCAGCCCAGGGAACCATCAACACTAACCAGGTGCCCAGATCCTCCTCTGGCAGGTCTGCGCCCAGACTCCTCTCTGCTCAGGCCACAGTGTTCCATTTGCCCTGTGCCCATGGCACAGGGCACAGCCATCCTTCTTGACAACATCAGTCTTTAGTGCATGGTTCCTGATACTGGGCAGAATTATATAAGTCACATAATTTGTGTTATGATGTCATAATACATCTTTTGTCATTTTCCTCCTTTCTTCTCAGGCAGGTGGCTATGGCTGTTTTCTTCTCTATTAAACATTCTCTTTCCTTGGTTTCGTATGGAATATCATTGTATTACTCTGAAGTTTTTGAATTAATCTTTTTCATAAACTGTTCTGAAAAGTTTGTAATGGTACTTTAATTATTATTCCTCCTTCCACTCTGCAGTTTTAAACTTTTACAAGAATATTATTTTTGCTTAAACAGCAGGATAGAAAGGGTCTATGACAATTCGCTGTGGCCAACTCACCAAGGCCAATTTGCCACAACTTGCCATGGTCAACTCACCACAGGATAACTTGTTGCGGGACAAAACTTATACTAATCTCAAAGAAATTATGGAATAGAAGCATTAAAGAGAGGATGCAAAAAGAGGGACAGAATGAAATGTGAATGGAAAAAATTAAAATATCTTTTTATTTATTTTAAATAATTAAATAGAATTGTTAAATTGTCTCACAGTGAGTGATCCCACAACGAGTTGGCTATGGCGAGTTGTCCCTTTCCCGGTTGTCCCATTCCCAGCCAAAAATTGATTTTAAAAACAGATGGCATAAGCTTCATCTGAATAAAAATTAAAAGTTATACCAAAGAGGAAAAAAGTAAGCTAAATATATACATCAGATTTTTGTTAAGTTCACTTCCATTTCTCCCACTCCATTTTTTAAAAGTAGTATGCATGCTGATTCTTTTGAAAATCTTAAATGAGTGTGTATGCCTTGAGATTCACCATAAAAAATAGATGCACAATTAAATGGCTTTGTGAAGGGGAACATGTATGAAAAGCCTATTATTTGAAATCAAATAATTAAAATGGGAGGGAGAGAGATATGAAAAAAAATACTGCCTAGCTGTTTTATCAAAGAATGTTTTAAGCATTTATTATGCAAACACCCTTAGGAGTGGGATATTCTTTGTTCTGTCAAATGAAGATTAGAAAAGAACCCTTAAATTATATTATGAAATGTATTGATCTTTCTATTTTATCAGAATACTCAGCACAGGAATTGTAGAAAGTGACACTCTGGAAGTCACTCTGGTTATTGGAGAAAGATAAGTTACTCTTTCTTTGTTTCTCCATTTTCTATTACATCATTTTCCAGTTTCTCCATTTTCATAAAAGAAAGTTCTTTATTTACTTGTCTGCCCTCTGTACGCTTTAAATTGAGTTAGGAAAGATAGAGATCTAAATTTGTAGCAGATAGCACATGGAAAAATTGACCCCCTGCTACTTTGAACTTTATTTCATCTATTCACTTCCAGCATGATTTTCCTAGTATAGGAAAGTGATAGCAGAATTAATCCAGACTTTCACAATACCTGGGTTAAGAATTATATGCCATTGTGGGAATATTATCAGTAGTATATATTGTATATTTTAGTCTCTGGGTTATTTGCCTTTTTCTGACTTTTTATAGGTTTATTTTTAGTTGCATTGGATGTTGTTTTTAATTCTTATGCTGCCCAGAATTGTTTAGGCCTATAAATTTGATTTATATATAAATGAATGAATGTATAAATGCAGGAAAGCCCAGGATTCTTTTTGATTTTTTTGTAAACATTATAAATAGATCTGTCCTAGAAAACAACAAATACAGCTTACACTTCTTTCTTCATCCACATTTCAGGATTATTTCATCAATAGATTCCTGACCTCTGGTTATATTTTCAGTAACAGATTGCACAAACACAAGAGTGGAAATGTAACCAGATTTTCTACATCTCTTTGTGACATCAGCTTAATTTAGATATTCAGCTTTCATAAACAAAGGATTTGTAAGTGAAAAGCTCATTGTAGGGTAGATGATCTAATTTGTCTCCTGCTGAGTTTAAACTGTTACCATATATATTATAAGTTACATAAAAGTAAATAAAATATGTAGCATGCCTATGATTTAACATTTAAAATGTATAACAAAGAAACTTTTACTATCATCATTTTCATAAAGATAGTTTTTGGAAATATAGTGGTATAATACAACAAATTGATAATATTAATTTGTACTCCACCACAATCAAAAGATATTGGATGAAATTACACAAAGCATCCATAATAAAAGTATATAAGAAACAAACAAAAAAGTCATGCAATAATCATTTTGATGCTACCAGCTTATTTCGAAAACCCTTCTAGAAAACAAAGTTTTTAATATCCTGCATAAAGCACAAAGAATGGATGAGATAAAATTTTTGAGGAGAGATTGTTTTAAAGTATATACAGATCTACAAAAATAGATGCACCTAGGAATGTACCTTGGTTCATTGTCAATAATCTAGACAAGTGATGATGATGGAATCACTTATGAGTAAGGATCATTTTACTGTAAACAGAACAGCAACTGGTGCTGGGCAAAAGTTCTCCTCACAGAGAGGTAGCTCTGAGTCCTCCAAGGCTTGCAAATTTCTCAAAGAACCAAAAATGAGTAGGAAAAAATGGCTGCAACCATGCTCATTTGTAGAGTTGACACCATCTAATTCAGAGAGAGTGCCACCTAAGCAAAAAATAATATTAGAGATCTTTGATGAATAGACAACAGCTTACTCTTGCTAGGGCAGGAGTCGGCAATCATAAACATTCAAAGAGCCACTTGGACCCATTTCTCACAGAAAAGAAAACAATGGGAGCCACAAAACCTTTTGACATCTAAAATGAAGATAACACTGCATATATCCTTTTTTATCTTTATGTTGCATCTTTATGTTGAAATCAATGAACTGCTACAAAGAAAACAATTTTTTATGCCGGAGAAAGAGGGGAAAAAAACCTTTCTCCTTCATCCCAACAGGTGAAAACAATTTTAGTAGCTTATCTACTATCTTTAAATACAGCATAATTATCCCCATACCTCATCTCTTAATTTAAAAAAATCAAAATATTTCATTAAACGTTCTTTACTAAAAGTCCAGTAAGGACAACATATATTCATATTCTCTCTCTCTCTCTCCCTCCCTCCCTCTCTCTCTCTCTCTCTCTCTCTCTCTCTTTCCTCTCCCTCTCTTTTTTCTCTCTCTCCCTTTCCTCTCTCTCTTTCCTCTCCCTCTCTCTCTTTTTCTCTCTTTCTCCCTCTCTCTTTCTTCTCTTCCTCTCTCTCTCTTTCTCTCTCTTTCTCCCCCTCTTCTCTTTCTTTCTCCTTCTTCTCCCTCTCCCTCTCCCTCTCTCTCTTTCTCTCTCTCTCTCTCTCTCCTCTCTCCCACCCTCTATCCCTCTCTCCAATCTTCTGCTCACTTGGCCAGCTGGCCTCACACAGTCTGCAACGTTGATTGGGCTGGCTTTCTCCTGGCCTTGATCTGCCAGTCCTCTTCCCCCACTAACTAAGTAAAAGTGTGTGTGTGTGTGTGTGTGTGTGTGTGTGTGTGAGAGAGAGAGAGAGAGAGAGAGAGAGAGAGAGAGAGAAACTTCTTACTTCCTGTGGAGACGTAGCAAGAGCAGGTGCCCATCCAATAAGCTTGTCAGCTTGTCGGAGAACAGTGTAAGGCCAGCTGGCCAGGTGAGCAGAAGATTGGAGAGGGGGGGAACACAAATACCTCTCTCTGTCTCTCTCTCTCTCTCTGCAAATGGCAGAGGAAGACTGGGAGCCGCAGTAGAAGGCTGAAAGAGCCACATGTGGCTCCAGAGCCGCGGGTTGCAGACCCGTGTGCTAGGGTTTAACTTCAGACCATTTCAAAGGCACATAGACTCCAGAAACTGGGTCTTCTTTACAGTTGGGATAACAATGATGGCTCTCATAAATACATTGCTATCATACCCCCAAACAGCAGTGTTCCATCTACACTTTAAAAATAATAGGAAAGAAAATATTGAACCCTTGAATACCTTCAAGTAAGCTGGTTGATATCTCCCCATTAATATCACCAACAACTGAAATTGCCCATTAAGAAAGGAACAGAATTATTGTAAACAGTACTTCCAATCCCCAATCCTTGCAACTGATTGCTCAGAGATCTAAAGGATCCGAATAGAAGAACTACCCGCCAGTGTATTATTCACAAAAAGGATGCTCTTCAGTTGTACATTGACTATAGTAATCTAGAAAGGGTAGGTTAGTCTAGCTGATATGTGTTAAATGCAGAAAGATCCAGGAAAAACCTCTTAATGAAGACACAGTCTTGACAAAGCTGCCTGCACTGCTGCCATATCTCAAGGCAAGGAATTGACCACCTCCTGATCCATTTGTCATGCTTTTCTGGATCTCCAAGGAACTAGCAGTACAAGTATCAAACGTACAGATGGCTAAGAATAAACATTGGAAGACCTGATTCAATTCAGAGACCAGAGGTGGTGTCTGGTTATCTACTGGACTTTGCTTATGAAGACTAGGACTGTGCTAATTGGTCATAACAGCCAGTGAAATATCTATCTGTTCTAAAAAACAGAATTGTTTATACTAAATAGCATACAGAATGACAGCCAATCAACTAAATAAGAGATGATAAATAACAATGCTTCTCTTTCCTTATTGCCTTACCAGCTTGAACCTGAACTCCTACTGATCTTGGTCAACTTCATTATTTATCTATCTCTACCAGCATTTCAGATGTTTCTCTTGCTGGTTCCTCTCACAGAAGCCTTCCCAAGGAACTAATTGGGTGTATCTGACAGAGAAAGGTTGTTCAGGCTACTATCTTGTCAAGCACATGGGCCACATCCTGTTACTATGGCAACCAAGACTCAGCAGACTACTTGCAGGATCACTGAAAAATAACTTTCCACAAATATCTTTAGGAAACTATTCAGACCCATAAAGTGCCTGAGGCAGATCATTCTAATTTGTTCTTTTTTACTATGGAAGATGTGAGTGGCCATCAGTCTTATTGGGAGCAGAAAGTGATATGATCAACACCCATTTGTTCTGAGGAAAAAGAACTAGCTCAAAAGTTTCACCTCTTTTGTGTATTATGTATGTATTGAGACATGCCTATTATCCTCATGGAAGTTATAAACTCCCAAGCTTTATTCAAACAAGTCCTGAAATCATGTCAATTGAAGTCACCCAACTCCAAAAGACCACAGAACTTCAGTGCCAGCTATAGAACCAGATCAAATATTTTTAGGAAGGGAATCTATTAAACAGCAGAAGAGCAGAATTCCAGTGCAGAATATTTTGCACTATGTGTATTTTATATAGTGTATCACTTAATACTTGTTCCTTTTATTAAAGAATGATTATTTTTCTTTTAAATAAAACATTTAAACAGGGTAGAGGTAAAGTACCACCATATTTGTTTTAATCATACTTAAACAGCCTAGAATTTGCACTAAGTGATAGCAAAGGAAGCAAGACAACAAGGGACAAGAGTATACCTTATCTTTTAAATGCAGATGGCAGAATTATATCTTATTATTCTATGGGTCTACTACAATCTTCAGAATGACATAATAAATTATATTATTGTTTAATATTTATTGTTTTATTATTTAATAATATTAAACTAGCATGTAATTGCTAATTTTCTGTTGCTAAAATAAAAATTAGTGTCTCCAAGAAAAACTAAGATAAAAATCCATAATGAACCCTTTTGTTGATTCCCGTGCCCCCCCCCCATTAATTTTAACTAATTTATTGGGGATGAAAGAACCAAAGTTGGGTGCCTATTGTGTAATAATTAATAAATTTAAATTAATAAATGTTAATCTATCTGCTCTTCTTTTGAAAAAAAACTTCACACTCATTGCAATATGTGGAAGGCTTTTAGAAATGAGAACAATATTTTTATTGCAATGACACATCCGAGAATATCTGTTTAATTCTGAAGAACTGCATAGTTTTTCACAGTTCCATGACAACCTGATTGAAAAGATTAAACATGCCATTCAAGTTGCCTAGGGCAGGTAAAATCCATGCCAAAAAACAAGAAAAGGAGAGCAGGAAACAAGAATCAAGTTTAACAAACTGGAAGGATTAACAGCAAGCATAACTATTGAGCAAACCAAGAATTTGGCTGCGCTGTAGATTTTCCATTCACTGTATTTTGGAGAGTGCTTATTTCTTTTTCCCTTTCTTTATTTCCCAAAGCCAAAAGTACATTTATAGAAACCTTTGAATGACAAATTAAACTATAGGCCAAGATGAGACTCAAGTTCAGGCTTTTATTCTATATAACTATATGAAGAAATTGAACTTGTATCTTGCTAATGCTTCTGCTTTGTGTTTGGTACACTTTGCTGTTTTCTTAATATGTTGGAGCTAATCAAGTATTGGAAGTAACATATGTGAAAATGGCTGAATAGCCATAATACAGGATTGCTACATTTAAAAAAAAATTCAAACACACTTCAATTCATTTGTGACATTTTATTTAGGTGTATCTGATGCAGACTAAACCTGGAGAACAGTACAGATGTTGTAGACCATTTTATGTATCTGCTTGTACATTAGTATAAATAACAGTTGAAAATCAATTTGGTATAGTGGTTAATATATTGAGCCAGTCCCTTTCTCTTGGCCTCAGGAAGGAGGCAATGGCAAACCACTTCTGAAAATCTTGCCAAGAAAACTGTAGAAACTTGTACAGGCAGTCTACATGAATCAAACAAAGTTGAATAGAAGAAAAAAAATGAATACAGTTACAACTATTTAGGTATTTAGAGCCAATGCTGTATAGCGGCAGTGTGAAGAACTAGAGTAGGAAATGCTCGTTCATTTATGACCATTTGGGTGACCTTGAGACTGAAACTGCCTGGGTCCAGTCATTGTTCTAAGTCATATATACTTTGTTTTCATTATGTATAATACTGCATATAAAAGGGGATATTATGCCTTTGGTACATTATAGAGTTGGCTTAATAAAATATGTGAACACAGATACTGTTGCTCAATTATCTACTTTACAAACTTGTAAAAATAAAACAGGTGAAAGTAATTCATAACCATACATATTGTTATGTACTACTTGGAAAAATTGTGAGATGTAAATGGACAAATGAATAAAATTAATAGCTCTCTAAGATGTAATGTGGGTTCAGATCTGCAGCCTTAGTTTGATTTCAACAGGACAGAGCTCCTACTATAACTCTATGTCAATCACAATATCCTTTGGCCTTCTCTGTCTTGTATCATCAATCTACACTATAACTATATTTTATTGTACTCTTTCTATAATTTATTTTTCCCAAAAGACATTATACATTTTTACATTGACACAACTTCTCAATTTCTTCTCAGTATTTGGTAACCAACTTCTTGCATGCTTCATGGCTTTACACGTTCCATCTTGAGGTCTAAATCAATCCCATTTTTCTGCTCCTGTTTCCTTACCAGATTTATCTGTTAGCTTTTTGATAATTTATCCCTATTAATGAGAGCCAGTTGGTATAGTAGTTAAGACATCAGAGACTCTGAATTTTTCCTATTTTAGGCACAAAGCCATTCATGTGACCTTGGGACAGTCACTCATTCCTACGAAGAGAAGGCAATTGCAAGTTGCTTCTGAAAATTGCAGACTAGTCCAGGCAATTGCTAGAATTGGTAATGATTTGAAGAGATGTGCACACCTCTCTGCCTATTAATGTTGGGTTTTTTTTATTTCATTGTTTGGCTAAATATCGCAGCCTGTCAGAGTAGAAATATTACCACCCCACTTTTCCATTGTATATTGGATTCTTTTAGGAACATAACCATGAATGCTTTATATTTACATGTATTTTTCTGTACCAAAACTTGAGATACTAAAAGATCTTTCCTTTATCCTGTAATTAGATGTTAATTATTCAGCATCAAGAATTTTAATTTCAAACTGCAGCAAGAATCTTCATTTCAAATGTCAGCTTAGTGATGAACTTAGTTACAGCATTTCGAGTCACACCAGGAAAGTGTTTTTGTCCTTTCAGTTCAATCAAATTTTCTTCTTAGCCAAATTATACTTGGCTATACCACTTATGAGTAAATACTGTTATTACAATTCTATGAGTCCATCTTTGCTAGCAAATGAATAACAAATTATCTGGTTTTGTTTAATTATGTTCTCATGTCCGGGTGGAGACAAAAAAGTAAATTAACTATGATTATCCTTTAGAATTATTTAATATAAATAAGCCTACATACAAATATAGCCTCAAATGCTACTGTTGGTTAGTTTAGGGGGAAAAGAGAGAGAAAACTGAAATATTTAACCTCTCAAAATATAAATGGCTTCCTGTTTAAAACTGAATATTTAGTAATATTAGTAATATTTAGTAATTTAGTAATTTTAGAATGATTGCATATTCATTTTTCAAGCATTTGAAAAGTCATTAAAATAGAATTATAAGTTCTAAAAAGGGAAAATTATATTTATATTAATGTGAATATAATATTAACATATCATGTACTTGGAGAGTTAACTAAGCTTTTGAGAACAGATATTTTTAAAATTAAAAAAAAAACCTTTGAAAATCATATAAATATTCTAATTGTCTTTTTTTAAAATATTGTGGCTGTCTCTCAGAATTGTATTGTATTGTTGACAATATGGCATATTCTGGACATTGTGTTTGACCTCTGGGGGGGGACAATGTTCTAATATCAAATAACTGGAAAATATGGTTTTTAAGCCTTTCATGTTAGTATTTCCACCAAAAGATGGGTAGGATACAGACGTATTATAGCCTCCTTTTTAGTTTGTACATCAGTTTAATAATCTGGGCTTTCTATTCCTCTGATCATCATTGTCCAATGTTAGCAAACTGCACAATTCCAGTTTTGCTATAGGCTATAATTTTGTCTTTTTCTCAGGTAGAAATGAGAAGGACATTGAAAGCATTGGTTTGCTTCTGTCCCTAAAAAACAACTTATAGTAAATTATCAAAAAACTAAAGTGCTATTGTTTGTGCCAACTTCAACTGTGAGTAGAATGGATACAACAAATGATAGCACAAAATCAAACAACCTGGAAAGATATGTCAGAGTCCTAGGGAAATAGAAGCAGAAATAGATAGTCATTGTGCTCTCTGTCAGGTTAGTTCTTTAAAAAGAGATAAATATATATCTTCCTTGACTCCCTATAAAGAGAACAACAAAGGAGCATGTAAATTAGAAATTTCATAGAGTAATTTGTACATGGACATAAGTACTGTTGAAAAAAAGATGCTTTTATACCACCCCCACAAAAATGCACAGGATAGGTCATCTAACCTGGCAAAGGTAAAAGCCTAACAGAATTTCAGAATTAGAATTGAAGAGAGATAAATGTCACTACATGCCTATTTGAGAAGAATCCATAAAAGGTAGGATTGAAAATCAACATCTCAGATATCTTGTTTAAGACTACCTCTGACATTTTCAAGCCCCAATGAACAGAGAGGACCACAGAGAGTTTAAGGACTGGAGCTTTCTATTAGCTTTCATTAGTCTCTGAAAACTAGTGGAACTAGACCCAGAGGAGAAAAATAATCAGTTTTAACAAAAATTAAGGAGAAAGTGTCAGGCACTGACAGAAATCAAACCTATTTCTAACAGTAAAATAGCATTCGTCATGCATCTTGGAAATCGTGGTCATTGCTCTTATAAATTTGGACTGGATAGTTTCCAGAATATTAAATTTTGTAAATATGCAAATTGGAATACTATAAAAAAATGAAATATGGCCTTAGTAAGAAATACCTCACCAGTTGCAGGAATAAAATATGCCCCCTTTGAATGGAAGACTCTTAAGAGAGTCTATGGTGCCATGCTAGGGTCACTCTTGCCAGGTAATTAGAAAGCCTGGAAGTGCACCCAAGATACTTACGTATTTAATAGACCCCTGCTCTATTGGAGTCCCACATTTTTCCATTTATGTATCCTTCTAAAAGTCCAAGTTACTGCATCATGGTTGTCTGCATTCTAGCTTTAGAATAGGCTTTTGAGAGAAGAGATAGTATTGCCATTAGAACTCTTGTATATCTTTGTAGCAACTCTGCAATGAACCTCGCTGAAGCCATCTTGCTCATTTTCGATTGCCCAAGATTGGGGAGAAGAATAGGAAATTCTATGCTAGCCTAAACAATCTTTGTCCCTTGAGAATCAAGGTAATTTCTGTTCCTTCAGCTGGGGGGTTGAACCTAATGGTAGAAAGCCCGCCAAACTATTTTGTTGGGAAAAGTAGCTGATTGCATAGGCTATGAGGTGGGGAGTTTAATTTTGTAATACTGTTACTTTTTGGAGGGAACTTTAGTCTTGGTTTCACTTTTGACCGTATTGATACTTTGTAACCAATAAACTTGTTTTTAGAGGAAAACTCAAGCCTCGAAGTTTTGCTTTAATTGGTCTCACCTATTGGAACCATGACACCTTCTTTATTCTATTCTGTTTTTAATAATATCTCCCATCATTTCATTCAAAAAAGGCATGCAGATGAAGTGGCCTGAAATTTCTTCTATTTCACATACATTTTGTTATCAATTTATTAGAAATAGATGTTGCATTGTTTTGTTAGAAAATGGGCAAATTCATATTGGAATTACTTTTGAAGTGGCTGGATTAGGAATTTGTTATATTTTTCTCTCAGTTTTGCCTCCAAACCTTTACATAGTCATATAGATACAAACTAGTTGTACACCAAACAACTTTGCTGGACCATAAATAAGGAAAAGGAATTTTTAAAAAGCAAGAAAGTTTTATCCCATCTTAGGCATGAAGTTGGAAGGACGACTTTAGGCCAGCCATTCTTTCTCAGACCAACCCACCTCACGGAGTTGTTATTGAGAGGAAAACAGGGGAAGGAGAACTAGTCAATTTGCTGCTTGGCCTTCCTGTATGGAGATTATGTGTGTCATCCCAGAAGTGGGAGTCATTGTAGAAGCAGCTGAAAATCTCAGAGACTTGCTTTGGGGAAAACAACCAGCTGATCCACCACATGGCCTTTCTATACAGAGGCCACTTCATGGTTTCCTAGAATTGCAGTTGCACACACTGTCTGTTGTTCCCAAAATGGTGCCTGCTTCCAGAATGGTACCCATGGCCTCTGTATAAGAAGGCTGCTGGGCAGATTGGTTGCTTCTCCTTTCTGAAGGTGATTTTCAGAAAAGGTAAGTGAAGCAAGATGTGATGGGTGGGAGGAGGCCCCCGGGTGTGGGACCCAGTGGTCATGGTCTTTAAACATAGTGCTCACCTAGGCATCTCACATAATGACTGGCCAAACTTGCAACTATAATTTTGGACTCAATTATGAGTTGACGACTATAAGTTGACAACTATCTGTAATGCCATTTGAAGGGTACTTTTGGTCTTTGTCACTCAGAGAGCTTTTACTGGAATATAATTGAAATCACAGGATGGAAAAAGTGGAAGTCTCTGGCAAAACTTCTATATTTGATATTTTTATCTGGTATTTTTAGTATTCTCCAGTGCAGTTACAGTTGTAGGATCAACTACACACCAGCATTTGATTAATTTTTCATGATGGATTTTGTTTTGGGAAAATAATCTACAGTAGAATAGAGGACCAAGAACTGACAGTTTAATTAGAGCTAATGAACTATATTTTGAATTCCTGTATGTTGCTAGTTACAGTGGTAGACTTTAAAGCTCTTTTATTTTTACTACTTTCATTTCTGTATTTCCCACCACTGCTGGCTTCACTTTTGCAGTTTTTTTGCATAAATAAAACATGGTGACATCATATAAACCCACAGAGTGTGGGAGCCCACTAAATGACTTCCAGGTGGACAGGACTGATTTCACCTTTCTTAGGAAGCACATTATTCTTCCATTTCCATTTATTGTGCAGAATCCCTGTTGTGTTTAAGCAATGTCTTTCTGAAGCTGCCTAGATATGCAGTCTGAAATCCTTTTATCTGCAAACTATGTAAAGTTTATTGTCTATGTGAAGAATCATATTCTTCTCCTAACTTATAGATTATGCACCCAAAGACTGTATATTTTACTTGAGTGGAAAGAAATCAAGAAAGGAATAATAGCAACTTTTTCCTTTCTCTCTTTCCAGCTGCTTTCCTACTCAGTCCCTTTTTTCCACACACTTGGCACTTTATTGCTTTCTTCCTGTAGATCTTGACTTCAGTTGGCATCTATATTTGTATTCCCTCATATTCAGCTTGCTCTCTATTCTCAGCCATATTGTTTTTGGCACAACTGTATCACCTTATTTCTTCCAACTTGCTAAGTTTTATTCCTATACATACATACTGGATGGTATTTAATATAGCCCAATTCTATTCCTTCTTTTTCCAGCTTCTATGCTTTATATGTTCTTCCCTGTAATTGGATCTGCCTTGGCACACTCTGTCTGCATTTCTTAGTATCTTGTTTTATTATTTCCCACCAAAAGATTTGTGTTTGGCTAGAGCTAATGTAATTTGAACTGTGTGTCTCTATCTCAATTTTTTTTCCGGAAAGAGAAAATGTTTTCTCTTTGGTCCTAATTATTTAACTTAAATCACGAACATTTACAATGGTGTTTTTGTTTTACATAGACACAAATAAGTATATTAATTTGCAGCACATCTACATAGAGCACATTTGTTTAAAAATTTTCTGAATATAGTATAAAGAATGTATATTTATGAAAAATGATGTTCTTACAGAGTACCTTAAGCTTTTTTGTTTATTTGTTTGTTTGTTTGTTTCCTTTAAATTATATCCGATTCTCAGAGACTGCTTAGACAAGTCCCTGCAGTTTTCTTGGCAAGATTTTTCAGAACTGCTTGGCCATTGCTTCCTTCTTAGGGATGAAAGATAATGAATGGCTCAAGGTTACCCAACTGGCTTTATGCCAAAGGTAGGGCTAGCACTCATGCTCTCTTGGTTTCAAGTCTTATGCCTTAATCCAGACATGTCAAACACAAGGCCTGGGGGCCGGATGCGGCCCACGAAGTGGTTTCATGTGGCCTCTGAAGCCAT